ATTTAGATTAACAGTTTCTTGTCATCACCCCATGCAATCGGTACAGTGGTATCAAGCATCATTATTTATGATATTTGCTTAAGCTAATATCACATGACGCTAAACGGCCTTTAATCAAAATAATTTCATAAAATTTAGTAAATTTGGGCTGAAAAGTTGGCAATGACTAATCAATAATAACCGTCCACCTGTATGATTCTTTTGAAAATTTGAGCTAGAAATTGTTAATCTAGTTTGCTTGGCCTAACCAATACTTATGTATCTGCACGTCCTTTCACGTTATAGTTTTGCTGCTCTAAATAAATCATCCTTAATCCGAATGACACAAAACGGTCCTCTTTTACTCTTAGGTGAAGCTGTAGTAAAAACGTTAGAACCATAGCTCGCGTGACTTTTGCGTGCGCAAATATTTTCGTTAAATTAGAGCGGTGTTTTGTTGAATAACTTTGCACATATGACTTATATTTACACCAAATGAAACTCCTTATTGTAGATTGAAAAAATTTATCAGTGTGCTAAATTTGAAAAAAAAATCCATAAAAGTTAAGTATGTTTTTCTATCAAATAAAGTTTCCGTACATTTGGGGCTAAGAAAAAAAAATAGGGAGAAACCCAATCAAAATTGGAAATGTTATATCTCAGGTATTTCTTAATGGATTGCCTTGAAATTTGGTATGTGAAGTAAGAGTCCAGCAGGACACAACCACTGAAAATATGTGGTAGTTTAGATTATTATAGAAAGTGGAAAATCGCTAAACTATCACTCCTGTTAATAACACACAGTGTTCTGCAGCAGGTTGTTTTGGCCGCACGACACACTACCATGTGTCTCATGACTAAGTTAACGTGTAGGAAACGATATTCATCTGCCGACAACATTACATTGTGCTTGATATTTAATTCTGAATTTCAGTGCATAAAGCATGCACTGCTACATTACAACGCAAAACAATGTAAACTCTAAGTGGTCCGGAAACATGTAGTGCCGAAGCATTTGAAGTCTTCTGCTCAAATCCTAAATCTTGTTGACGCTAATATTGTGTGCTGTCAATAAACAACCATCTAATTCTCATAAGTCCTTTTATTTACTATATTTCTATCATAATACAGTTACAGCTACAAAGTGCGAAGCACATTTTTGCAGTAACGGAACTCGAAGCGAAGTTTGTTAACGCTAACTCTATACTACATCCGTTCCGCGGATAACTGTCGAATCCCACTATTCGGTCAGATATGAGTAGGACAAGAGTTGGTGGTGGGTGCTATTGACTCCCCTCTGATCTATCATTTCAAAATTACGGACGGCTATGCGCAGATAGCCTTTTGTGTAAATTTGCGCGAAAATTCCGGAACACTATATTTCTATGCACAGTTAGGTGGTGTCAGTTTGAAAAATGTTTAAAGATAAATTTTGTACAGCATTGTAGCGTTCTCGTATATAAGTGTTTTCCAACCTATATTGCCCGAGTTTCTCTCGTATATTGCGAGTTAGTATCATAACAGTGCAACGTAATGCTGAGAACACCAGTATATTTCTGTTAGAAGTAGCGAAAGATGTTGATCTAACAGTTTTTAATCTTTTTAGTGTTGACTGAAAATTGAGTTTTAAATCGTGTATAACATGTATTCTAGCAGTTTGAACAAAAATGCTGAAAGTTGTAAAATTTCATTAATAATAATAATAATCGCCTACAGAGAGATAATAGCTTTGTGAAGTTTTATATCACTGTTATTATTACTATTATATTTTTGCCATAATCACTGAGATTATACAAACATTCTTTTTTTTTATTTCAAATCAACTGGATTGTTCTAAACGTCTTTACTTTAGAGCTCATTGTTAACTATCGTAATTTTTATGTTTTTCTTTCCTGAACTTTCAGGACAAAGTTAAAGACTCGCCAAGCTCTGCTACTAATTACGACGCCTACGTGGCGGTTTACTCTGTTACAAATAAAAGAAGTTTTCGGAAAACGAAGGAAATCATTAATAATCTGATGATTATGGACATCACCAGTAATGCTAAAGCAGCGATTCTAGTAGGGAACAAAACGGATCTTGTAAGGCTACGAAAGGTTTCCATGAAAGGTTAGTTAGTACCAAGGATTAATATTTTCAATCAAAATGTTACTTCTCTTAACCTATAGTTGTTATTTTACACTAAACTTCAATATATTCTGAACCAAATTTTGACTTTTCATTCAAAAGATATTTCGTTTTTTTTTTCACTGAAAAATATTACTTGTAAATTAAAAACAATTACTTTCCGCTAATATTTTTATCCCGATTCTATTCTTTCTCTTCCCCCATCCCCCAGTGAGACAGCGGCAACTTTACGGACTTACAACAATGATCCAAATATATCACTCAAACTAAATACTTCACTAGCACTTTACAACTGAAAACGAAATACTGACTCACTGCCAGTTGATCCTTAGCTATTTATATTGTAGCCTAGTTTCTAGATGTTTCGCAAAACTACTAGATATTCGTGACGTCGTCTAAAATATTTTAGGCCTTTTCCCACAAACTTACTTGATCTTAGTGTAATGCGCCCTCTAGCTAACATCCCAAATAAAACACGAAAAATATAGCCCATACTACGATTTTGTTATTTCAAAATAAATAAAATAACTTTTCATACCAATTTGACCACTCACATGAGACAGATGTACGACACTTAAAAGTATCTTGTATTGTTAAGTGTAAACAAGCGTAATGTGAGACATGTGTAGAAACTCATGACAATTGACTTGATCCTTTAACGGATGTTTTTATAAGAACCTGACGATTTCTATTTTCCCAAGATAGAATTCTTGTATGGAGAAATAACAATAACAAACATTATTTTGTGCATAAATCATGAAAAAGCGGCACAAAGCTAGATTTATGCATAAAATTGCGATTGTGTATTTGCTATTTAAAATAAAGCTGTACAATCCAATAGTAAGTCTGCGTTATGCCCAACGGAAAGATCGAACACTTAACTCTATTAATGTTCTAAGGCATCAAACTCACCGCTGGGCGAAATGCAAATTTGATTGTAAAGTGGTATTTCAGCTTAATCATTATCTTTGTCACAAAAATCCTTATTTTTTATAATAACTGTAAAACTGTTTACTGCTAAATCACGTTTTATAATAGAAACAACAATTGGTGACAATGCTGTAATTACAGAAATACACAAAAGTCTACACTATTGCTCTTTCATTAGTGCTGTAGATTTTGTTTAAAATAATGTAAACAATGTTAAAATAATGTAAAAAATACCATCAATATTGAAGTTAATCCTAACAGTTGTTGGTGTGTCCTCCTCTCTATTTTACACAGAAAATGAGTAAATTCGCTCGTTTTTATTGTCAAGTCTTCACATTGAGTGTCATAACAAGCAATAAACATACAATTACTCAACATGCTGCAATATGTAGACCACACCAACAGTTAATGGTGTGAAGTTAAGAGGATAAATTGGGGGTTCAGAATAGTATCTATGAGATAAAAATTACAGACTTTTCCATCCTTTGAAGGGAGTACGTGAGAGTCATTGATGAAAACCATGGTGATGTCATACAGCTTCACGTATTTTGACAGATGAAGTTTAACTTCAACAATGAATTCATGTAAACAGACTTTTCATCGACATTCTAGGGGTAGGTTCAGAGATGTAGGAGTATTTCAATCATGAGCTTTAAGACTATTTTTATGTATAATTATATGATTACTCGAATCTAATTCATCATAAAAAATTGCCAAACTAATCGTAGATTATTATTATTTACAGAAGGACAAGATCTGGCAACTGCACACAGCTGGAAATTTATCGAGACATCAACTGGAATTAACCATAATGTGGATGAGCTCTTGGTTGGAATCCTCAGCCAGATCCGACTGAAATGTCAGCAACAGGAGAGATTAAAGAAACAGAGAGAATCAGTGACACTTACGGTCCCAAGCATGTTTTCGTTCTGCACTGGTGGCAAAACAAAAGTTTTTATCAAGAAGATTTTAGAGAAGACTGTCCTGAAATCAAGATCTTGTGATAACCTCCATATTTTGTGACCGTCTTTGAGAATTATTCTTCATGGCCCAAATTACTTTGAAATCTGCATGAATCCATACCATATGACATTGTGCAGCAAAGTCACTTACTTAAAACCTTGTTGGAGCAGTTTTGATTTAAATCAAATGTTAATTCCTGTGGATATTATGACACTAGTGAGCCAACCCCATACGGGAGTAAGTCTAGTGAAGATTCTTAGGACTCCAAATTCCATTAAAATTCCAAAATGGGTTAAAATTATTATGAGTATCGTCTTACTATTGAAAACAAATAATCTCATTATGAAACAGAATTGATCTTACACATTGCTTTATCCATTTAGTTTAGCTAAGTGAGTCAATCTATGTGTAAATCACGTGTCGAATGTATTAAAACTTCTGTCAGATCCTTGTCGCGACGCTATGATATTCCATATTTACCGCAAATGTTAGGCTAATGAGGTTGTTGTAATGAGGTTGTAGGTAGAGACTCAAACCTTCTGTCTGTAGAACACAATTATAGAATTTTTGTTAACATGATTTTCAGACAACCCGTATACTTAAAGACTAAATATCTGCAAAAAAAAAAAGTAAATGTGAGTATATCCTTAGAGATTATATCGGTACAAAGCAATACTTAAAATAATTGGGCTGTTATGTGACATTTTCGTTTTGAATATCGATTGTATTCAATGAAATTAAGCGAAAATTTCTATAAGTTGATACAACCACGTTACCAAAGTACAGGAAACTATATGCATGTTTATTATAGTTTAGTATTTCTCTGTATATATATATGAAAACAAAACCAGCAATATTTCCATTAAATCAATGGGTCCTGAAATTATTTCTCTGTCACTCGGTAATTTACGACGAAAATATTTGAATTATTTTTTTAATATCAGCAACAACGTGCTTTATAATTCTGCCTTACAAACTTAACATTTGTGTGTAATGTTATTAAGTTTCTTTGAAGTAATTGATAATCTACTACAAAAACATATTGCATACCGCAGTATTTGAGTTTCCTGATTAAGATAAAAATCAATTGTTAGTTTTTTATTTATCAATCATCCTTAATTTTTAGCTCCTTTCGAAAAAAAAAACGGTGTGCGTTATCTGCGCTCTCTCTGTTCAAGTTTATAACATATTATTAGATAATTTGAGATTATCGATAATTTCACGTGATGTTTTATTTAAAGCTTTTTTTTATTTATTCGCTACTCAGTTACTTAAAATGAATGTATCTGATAAAACGTTCGTTAATATTTTCTGATTGTCCTATAGGAACATTAGGAAACATTACAATATATATATACTGTTACCAAAAACCAGTAAAGACTGTTTCTAACACGTTCACGTAAGCGTAACTAGGCATTTAAAAATACTATTGGAAAGAAACACCAAAAACTTGTTCGTACGCACGCACATATAAATACACACTCGGATGACATACTCTGAAAATGTATTTTTCATCACAATATACAAACAAGCCATGCAAAGTTAAACAACATAACTATAGGAATACTTGGACTAGGTACGGACACTATACCACATAACTATAGGAATACTTGGACTAGGTACGGACACTATACCACATAACTATAGGAATACTTGGACTAAGTACTGACACTATACCACATAACTACAGGAATATTTGAGCTAGGTACTGACACTATCCCACATAACTACAGGAATATTTGAGCGAGGTACTGATACTATACCACATAACTGCATGAATATTTGAGCTAGGTACTGACACTATCCCACATAACTACAGGAATATTTGAGCGAAGTACTGACACTATACCACATAACTATAAGAATACTTGGACTAGGTACTGACACTATACCACATAACTACATGAATACTTGAGCTAGGTACTGATACTATACCACATAACTACAGGAATATGTGAGATAGGTACTGACGCTATTCCACATAACTACAGGAATATTTGAGCGAGGTACTGACACTATACCATATAACTACAGGAATATTTGAGCTTGAGCTAGGTACTGACACTATACCACATAACTATAGGAATACTTGAGCTAGATACTGACGCTATACCACATAACTACAGGAATACTTGAGCTAGGTTCCTGACAACATACTTCATAAATATAAGAATACCTAAGCTAGGTGCTGAAACTATACCACATAACTATAAGAATATTTGAGCAAGGTACTGATACTATATCACATAATAGCTATAAGATTGCTTGATATGGTTACTGACGCTATACCACACAACTATAAGAATACTTGAGCTAGTTACTGACTATACACCACACAACTAAAAGAATACTTGAGTTAGGCACTAATAAAGCCCTTGGTAGGTTTTATTTATGTTAGTATTTTTCAACTCTCGTAGTTTTTAACTCTTTTGACATGAAAAATATTGACACGACTCTGGCTCTGACGTCAGCACAATGCAATAATACTTATCATTTCATAATGAATCTATCTATGACAGACATATTATCATTGGTGAATTGCTAATAATTTTATTAATTGTACCTGTGGGATTTTCACAACCTACCCGTTTAGTGAGTCTTTAATTTATTGCTCAACTCAATTATAATTAACGATTAACACTGTATTAATACTTAATACAAATTATACAACGTGATCAAAATAGCTTAACTAAAACACGTTACAGAAACGAAGATTTAATATAAATATATATAAAAGTCAAATAACATATAACAAGTCTAAGTTTTACATTGTCATGAATTTTAACATTTGTTTGGTTATAATTTGATTTAAAACTTTTTATAAATTAAATATTCGATAAATATTGGCTGATTTGATACTATTTAACTGTCCTATAATGTTTCTTATAAATTGCATAATCATTTTTTTTCACGGTATCTATGGTAACGTTTTCTATGAGTTTCATAATTCTCTTTTTATTGATGGTAATTCTAGTAATATTTTTGTACCACTGTCTTAAGTCGTTGAAATAACTTTCTGGAAAAAAATATTATTTCTAAAAAAACTTTAAACCTGCTCCTTCATTAAAAATGTTTAATATACCTAAGTAATTTTCACTTTTTTTCTAGTAATTTTAATAAATACAATAACTTACTTAAAAAGAACTTATTTATGTATAACCTAGTTGGAAGAAAATGACGTACATGTATGTATAATTATGTTAAACTAATATATGTATATATATATAGGAAAATATATATATCGATGTATTCCACTGTAGGGCGTCGTGGTGTAATGTAGAGAAGACGATTGGTTAATAAAATATTGCATATATTTCAAGCGGTTTTTTTTTCACGCTTGCATAGTTTTAACTGACGGGTTCTTTAAATTTTAATATAGAAGAACCGTACTCATGATTTATCATGTTCCAAGACCACTTATTAAAATACAGCTTCTTCCATTTCTATAACAACTGTTTTTACCAACAGTGTAAATAACTGTAACTTACAAGCCAACTTACTGTACTATTAACAAGTATTAAATATCGTAAGATCGGTGACACATGTTTCGTCGTAAAACGTTGTAGAGTGGCCTGAAACCTACAAAATATTGCTTTACTGTGCTAATAATGGCAAAAACCTATGACTCATTATTGCTTGGTTGTGTTAAGCCATTCGACTCGCAATCTGCAGGTTGCTTGTTCGAAACCCCGTTACCGAAGCTTGCCTTTTCAGCTGTGGGGCGTTATAATATGACAGTCAATCCTCTATTCGTTGGTAAAAAGAGGAGTCCAAGAGTTGGCGGTGGGGAGTGCTCATTAGCTGCCTTTCATCTAGTTTATCACTGCTAAATTAAGAGTGGCTAGCGCAGACAGCCTTTAAGCGAAATTCAAGCCAAACCTTGATTGTGTTGCTAATGCCTTATTTTATTACGTCACTTAGTTGCTAGTGGCAGAAACCTATGAGGTGTTGCTTACCGCTGATGAAAATGACAAAAAAAAACTACGATTTTCTAATTTACTAAGTTGGTAACAACACAGAAATATGATCTTGTATAAGAGAAAAGACCTGATGACGATCTGCGATAGCAGCTCGAAATATCGTTCAAAATCTTTTAAAGCAGTTGCAGTTCACAAAAGACTCGAATTCAAAGAAGTTTGACCTCTTGCTTCACACTATACTGAAAATGAAAAAAAAAATAATATTTATTTTTCTGTTGATAAAAACAGAAAGCTAAAATGTATTGCTTCACTAAGAAGGTAATAAAACAAATCTATGATATATTTCTATGCTCTACGCAAATGAACGTGATAAAAATGAAAGGCTCTCTTGAAAGTTAAGCCTGATTGTAATTCCAAAAAAAATCAATATTTCATTAGTTATGCGCACGATTAACGTGCCATATTGAGACAGATTGTGCGGCTGTTTTGGTGCATTTTTCACATCTACTCGCCTTAAAAAGAAAGTGCTCCCTTCTCGTCCATAGATTTAGTAATTCGCTTATTATATTTATTGATGTTCTCTTCAGCTTAAGTTATTGTTTCCAAATTTTCTATGACAAAGTTAAAAACGAGTGTCGTTTATCTGTTTCAAATTTTTGCGCAAAGCTAAAGCTACACAAGGTCTACTTGCACATAGCCATCCCCAATTTTGAGCTGGTGAGTTCCTGATGGACGTAAAAACTGTTCATTTTACTGTATCCAGCGTGGGTCATGGTGTAGTATATGAAACATATAAGGTGTTTCTTTTCCGTTTTATTTAGAAATGTTGACCAAATTTACAATACACACACTTAAATGCATTCGCTGCACTTATCAGGCTTAACGTGCATTCTCCTATTCATATTTCTGACGTAGAAGATGACACTAGAGAATAACGTAGACTTATACTGATATGTTCTGTAGTGGTATTTGTCGTATAGAGGTTTAGGAATAACTGAAGAATAGCTCCTTTCTGTTTTTAATTTACAGGAATACTAAGTGACAAGAGTGAAAACTGCACATTAGGAGAGTTAACCCTATTGTATTAAAATTCTCTGAGAATTTGTTCAAATTCAGATAGATTTCTAGATATCTGTGGGTGGGGGAGAATTATGCCATTCGCTCAGTATACACATACCTACTAAGTTGTACTTTGCTGTGTGTACGTGTTTGTATACTATAGCATTGTATTTTCATGTTGCTGCCAATTTATGTCTAGTATCTTCCTTTAATTCAGTCACATAGGAAACTCAGATTTAATTCTATAATATATATTCTGTCTGTCCTCTAGGTAGAGCAGTTACTATTCTTACCTCAATTAAATCAGTATACCTGAGTGTATGACAATGGACACAATATCAGAAAATTGTCTGAACACTTGACAGTGTGGACAAGGTCGTAGAATGTCATTTACGTCATGTACTCACTGCTAACTGTACAAAATGACCATTGCGAATCGTCAGTTCCCTGCTCAAAGACTACTTATGAAATCCACGACAGCAACAGTGACCAAGCAACAGATCTGGGAAGTCCAGCTTAAGGTCAAGAAGATCTGCTTCAGCCCACAACTGACTATCCAGAAGTTCAGAGAACTCCTTTGGACTTTTGTCCAATCACCAGCTTTGACAAGATCACCAATGGTCTTCTGTTCTCTTTAAGATAACCAATGTTTCCTATCTCTAAGATAAGCGGCTAGTGTGCTTTTGTTTACGAGTTTTGATCCTGTTTTGTAAATGTATTTATTATTGTTTCTTGTATGGTAAGCCGTGTAGATCTTATGATCTAACAACTGGTGTTTTCATGTGTTTTACAAGTAACGATCTACTCTATTTTTATTTCTAGTTAGTTACATTAAGTATCATGAATATTATTGTTTGTAATATTTAGAATAATTTTTAAATCAATTTTTACACTTAAAAACAATATTATCCATTGTCAGCTTAGCACGTGGATTTAGGACTACCATAAATCTCACAACTAGCTGGGTCTCATGAGATATGATAGAAATTATGGCCGGTAATGGTCTAATGGTTATCATTACAGACTGTAAATTAAAAGATCCAAGGTTCGAGCGCGATATGTCGCTGAACAGGTTTCAGTTGTGGGCGTGTTATGACATGTGACAACTAATCTCACTATTCGGTTAAGAGTTACCACATAGGCTACTAATATTACTGCTTGGTCACCTTCCCTCTGGTCAGCAGTTCTAAATTAAGACTATGCTTGAACCTCAGGAGTATCTGACCTGGTCGTTCAGTCAATGTGTCGTTTATAGTATCGGTCAAGTTATAAACATCAAGCTATTGGTATTACAGCTGAAGAGGCGCCCAACCCAGCTGATAGTTCAATGAATTATAATCATTATAGATTAAGTTTTTCTTATGTTGTATAGCAAAATGTATTTGTAGTAATTTTGTTATGCGGGATTCGTTTCAACAACTTTGTAAGTTACATTGATTTATTTTCTATATAATTAGCTTACTTGTGATCAGAAAATATTAATAATTATTGACAGTTTCGTATCGGGAGAACCAGAAATTAATCATATGTTCAATTCAACATATTTGCATATGGTTGTTTTGTTGACAGTTCAATTATGATGTGGAGAGTTATCGACGTGAGTAAAAGCACAAATCGTATTCAGCTTTCGAAGAAAGAATATTCTACTCAATGATATATAAGCATGTTATTGGACCCAATTTATTGGCCATTTCGCTGGTGTACTCGGACTAGACATTTTTCTGGTGCTGTATAAGTTACAGTGTCGTACGAAGGAAGACCCTGAATTAAGCACCACAAAGCAAGAAAACCTTATATAAATCCTATTGAATGCTTTTGGGACCTCATTCACGCTTTGTACGCCAACGCCTTAACTCACTACTCAACATCATACAACTTGGCATTGCGCTGAATGAAGGATGAACACTGACTGCTGATCAGGAACACGACTTTCATGCACAAAGACTGTTTCAATGACAAGGCGCGGTCTATACTTATTACGAAGTATCTTTGTTTTGTTTTTCTTGTTACGTGTTGTTCTTTCAGATAAGTTGATTTCTATAGATACGAAAATCTGTCAACTTAAGTCTAGCAATACTCATGTTCTATGGATTGTCAAGAAATTGATTCATTAGCGTTATTCAGCAAATTAATTTGGGTCTAAACTACACCCTAATTCAGTTCAGGTGTTCATTTGGTCGAAGAGCAAGTTATCTATAAAAAATTCCCCTTTTAATTTTTTGGAATACTTTATTTTTATTTCCATGCTAAGATGACACAATATAATTTATTTATTTAAGTGTTTTTTTATTTATTAATTGCTTTAGTTTCTTTGTTTTAGCTCAAAGTTACACAATGGGCTATCTGAGCTCTGTGTATCACGGGGAATCGAACCCAGGATTTTAACGTTATAGGTCCGTAAACGTACCGCTACCCCACTAGAGAACCATTTTTTTGCTATTGTTTATTTCTACGTTACAAACTCAATGTTGAAACTGGCTTCGTTTTCCAAGTGAGGTTTTGATGTTTTGAAATGACGCTCATATGATAAAACGTTTACAAAAATGTAAACTCCATTCCTGTCACAATGTGTGCTTTCACTGGAGAGCTAGTCTAATCAACATTTTTGATTACCAATACACTGAATATTATTTTAAAATAACCTTTACTTAATATACTACATACTAACTGTGAGTAAAATAATCTTTGGATTAAACTGAGAAGTTTTGTGTCACTCAAAATTCTTTTTGTTATGAGCTCAGGCTAAATGTTGACATCTTCCGAGTAGAAGCACCCTATAGTCAAGAAGTA